CATATATTTATTTGCTGCCTTTACTTCTTTTTCTGAGAAATGTCTGTTCATTTCAGATGCCCAGTTTTGAACTTGGGGGGGTCTGATTTTTTTTCAGTTCTTTATATATTCTAGGTAGCAGTCCTTTGTCTAAGATGCAGCTGCTGAAAATTTTTTCCCACATTGTAGGTTCTCTCTTAGCTCTGTTGGTGGTTTCTCTTGCAGTATGGAAGCTTTTAAATAAGATGAGATCCCACTTGTTGATTCTTTGTGCTAGTTCCTGTGCTACTGAGGTTTTGCTCATAAAGTCTTTTCCTAAGCCAATGTCTTCAAGAGTTCTACCTAACTTATCTTCCAGCAAGTTTAGTGTTTCTGTCTTAATATTTAGATCTTTAATCCACTTCTATCATAGTTTGGTGCATGGTGATAGGTATGGGTCTAGTTTTAATCTTTGGCAGGTTGAAATCCAGTTTTTCCAACACCAGTTATTAAAAAGGTTATCTTTTCTCCAATGAGGGTGGTTGGCTTCTTTGTCAAAGATGAGGTGGCTGAGTATATCTGTAGCTGTTTCTGCATTTTCTAATCTATTCCACTGATCCTTGGGTCTGTTTCTTTGCCAGCACCATGCTGTTTTTATCACAGTAGCTTTGTAGTATAGTTTCAAGTTGGGGCTTGTAATACCCCCAGCCATGTCTCTGTTGCCTAGAATTTCTTTTGATATTCTAGGTCTCTTCTGGTTCCAAATGTATTTTTGGATTATTTTCTCTAGTTCTGTGAAATATATTGATGGAATTTCAATTGGCATTGTATTAAATCTATAAAGTAGTTTTGGAGGTATGGCCATTTTCACTATATTAGTTCTTCCTACCCAGGAGCAAGGGATGTCTTTCCATTTTCTTATATCCTCCTCGATCTCCTTTTTCAGAATGCTATAGTTTTCAGAGTAGACATCTTTTGCTTCCTTTGTTAGACTGATTCCTAGATATTTCATTTTTTTGGATGCTATTGTAAAAGTAATTGTTTCCCCAATTTCTCTCTCAGTAAGTTTATTATTTGTATATAAAAAGGTTATTGTTTTTTGAGTGTTGACCTTATATCGAGCTACTCTACTGAGTCTGTCAATGAAGTCTAGAAGTCTTTTGGCAGAGTATTTTGGGTCTTCTATGTAAAGTATCATATCATCAGCAAATAATGACAGTTTAACTTCTTCCTTTCCTATCTTTATTCTTTTTATTTCTTTCTCTT